TCAGCGAACATACCTCAGTCAGATTGAGGATGTTTTTAGCAAAGACCAGCTTAGAAGTACCCTAATTAAGTTAATAACAATGTACCTACCTTTATAGTTTAAGTTTAAAAATTTTGGCTCTCAAAAGAAATTTCAATCGTTGTACTGTTGATATTTGGCTCTGCTGACTAATGAGTTTGCCGACCACTGTGATAGACAATAGGGGCAACCAAGGCTGAATTGGTTCCATTTTGTTCCATCCAATACTTGTTATTCATTCGACACATAATTTGTTATTCATCCAGCATGTAATTATTAAATGCATTTGTATTAGAACACTGTTTTGCAAACCTTACTGTATATGTAGGTAAATCACCTGGGATACTTATTCCAAAGGTCCAGGGTAAGGCCTGAGGGTCTGCATGTCTAGCAAGCTCCTGAGGATTGCCGATGCTGCCAGTCCATGAACCGCACTCTTTGAGTAGTCGGGACTACACAGAGTGTTAGCCCTTGGTTACATAAAGGCAAATAAGAGAACCATGGCTCCTGCCCTAATGGAGTTGATACTCTAGCAATGAATATAAATATTAAAGAAGGAATTACAATTAAATGCAATGCTAGGCTAGGGGATGTTCAAAGTCATTTGGAGAGGGGACCTAACTTCACCCAGGAATAAACTAAAAAACTTTCCCAAGGAGGTGCTTAAGCGGTAGGAATTTGCAAGCAATAAAGGAGGGAGAATATATTTCAGGCAGAGGGAACAGCATGTTTGAAGGACTGCAGGAGAGAGAAAGCTTAGATATTCCACAAATACTTACTGACTGTTACTATTTGCAGCCTCTGTACTGGGTATAAGACCATGCCCTGGAGGGAGCACAGTTGGAGAGACAGACATGACATTAGATGGTTTCAAAATAACATGGCATGAGTTCCAATGGTGAGCACAGAGTGCCAGGTAATCCTAACCCAGCCCAGGTGAGAGGACACTTGAACTGAACCTTGTCAGCTGAGCAGGAATAAGGCAAGAGAAAAAGAGGCGGCAAGGTGGGAGACCCGGTCCTCCCCTCTGCGGACACAGTCTGTGGGGAAGTTGACAAGTTGTGCCATATGATCTTGATTTTACTATCCTATATAATTAAACCCTAATATGCAAATGGCAGAAGGACCAGTCACCATGACATGCACTGACCACCAGAGAGAAGATGCTCAATGCAGGAGTTGCCCCCTGGTGGTCAGTGCGCTCCCACAGGGGGAGAGCCGCTCAGCCAGAAGCCAGGCTTAGGGCTGGTGAGCACAGCAGCGGTGGTGGGAGCCTCTCCCGCCTCCACTGCAGGCAGGCGGTAAGGAGCAAGGGGTCCCAGACTGCGAGTGGGCGCAGTTCGGGCTGAGGGACACCCCCTCCCAGTGCATGAAATTTCATGCACTGGGCCTCTAGTATTACAATAATTGTCTGGGAATAGTGCCTGGCACAGAGTAGGCACTCATTAAATACGTTGAATGGATGAAAATATAAATGTTGTGTTAGTGATAGGGTCAGGATAGCCTAGACACAGGGTGGGGCAATAGTAGGTTGACAGTTCTTTGTGTGGTAAATAATACAATAATTAATAAACAATAATACCAGAATAAACTCTGTTTCACGTACTCACAACTGTCAGCCTGCTTTTGCCCCACCCTGTATAACTGGGTGCTAAACTGAGTGCTGCCAACTCCAAGGGCCCTGGGAGCTCAGAGCACAAGAAGCTCCAGGAGACTGTGAACAAGAAATGGGCTTGAAGAAAAGGGACATCTGTAGACATCCATCCCGAGAAGGAGAAACTACCCCTGTCTGCTGAGTGACTGGGAGAGAAAATGGGAAGCAAGCACCAGGTAGGGTTTCTTAACCCAGGGCCCATGGAGCTTCTGGGACATCGATGAAGTCCTAGAGATGATATGCAAAAATCTCAGGTATATATGTGCGGGACTATTTTTCTGGGGAAAGGAACTTGAACTTTTGTCAGATGGTCAAAGGAATCCAATGACCCAAACTAGGTTAAGACCCTGTAGGTAGCCTATGAATCCCTTACGGGCTACAAATAGTTATGCCAATAGAACCGCAACACAGAAAACCCTGGGTCTGAGTCAGCTGGAATGGTTCCAGCCCTGCCTTTCAGAGGCATTTTAGCATTTCCCTGCTGCTGCTTATCAATCCAGACCTGTCCATGTTGTCAGGGTGTCCTCAGCAGCCAATGGAGATGCCTCCTTCCCCAGGCTATTTACATGGACCGTAGTCTCTCCTTCTAACGAGTTTCCAGTGGGAACAATGCCCTCTTGTTCGACTGTCAATCATTTACATTTCTCTGATCTTTTCTGGAAGTTTCCGTGGAGCAGCAATTGCTGCAGCCACCTGAGCATTGAACAGGCCACTAACTGGAACAGATGAAACAAATATACTGGAGAAGGGGGCTGTGTGCTTATGGACTGCAGTACATTCATGGTCATGCGTAATGGACCAGGCACTTTTCCACCCTCCTGCTTATGCTATCACAGTGAACACAACATTTACATATCTGGAAGAAAAAAGGATTTTATGAGTCATTAATAATAGATGCAGGGAATTTTTCTGTTATGGGTAAACATTTCCATGGCTTAACTTTGCACCCATTTTGGTTCAAAATATCTACAGTGTTTGCCACTTACCATCTTCCTTCTAAAATACACTGGTGGTAATTGAAATGGTTCTTTTTCAATCAAGAATTAAGGGTTTGTTAAATAGCAATGAGGAAGTCCCCTATTTGAGGATACAGGCAATGGTTAAAGTTCTTAGAATAGAATAACTTTAGAGCAGAAACCTTAGCCACCAGGTTGTACTAAGAGAAGTATCATGTACAGAACAAGGAAAGCAATAGTCCTTGCTCCTCAGGGCTAGACACACCGCGTAGGAAGTATTTTTCAGATCCAGCACTTAAGGCCACGTTATAAGAGGGATAACAATAGGTGCGTGAAGCTGGTAAGCTCTCTTGAAATGAAGGTGAGTGGTGATACCTGACACTCGTGGAGTCCTTGCTCAGGGCGTGGCTCTGCGCTTGGCATCCACATTTAATCTTCATAACCAACCTATGAGGGCACCACTGCTATTATCTCCATTTGACAAATAAAGAAACTCAGGGTTGTGCAGAGAGTCCGTGGAGGAACTGGAATTGCATGTGTTCTCTCTGACCCCAGGGGACCCACCATGTCGGCAGTGGGTATATTTTCCGTTAATCTTGCTAAAGATGATTGGTAATTATGACAAGGAAATCATTGCCACTATGTGCATGTGTGTGTGTGTGTGTGTGTGTGTGTACCAATCTTGATCAAAACACACACACTTCCAGGGTAGTGACCATGTTAATTATGTACATATTTACTCCTCAGGCCTAGCACAGAGCCGGGCATATGGCAGGTCTTTCTTCTAGCTTTGCTGAATAAAATAACAAGTTTGGAAATGCTTCAAAAACCAACTCACCCATCAAATTATTGAGAGTGTGGGGACAAAAAGACAGTCCTGGGGTGTGAATTGTTACAGTTATTTTAGAGAACACTTTGGAAGTAATTATCAAAATGTGTAAACCCCTTGACCACTGTAGTTACATGTCTAGAAATCTGTTTGATCTATTCCACAGAAATACTGACACAGTAACCAACAAACGACAAGTGCTGGTGAGGATGTGGAGAAAAAGGAACCCTCGTGCACTGCTGGTGGGAATGCAGACTGGTGCAGCCACTGTGAAAAACAGTATTGGGTTCCCTCAAAAAATTAAAAATGGAACCCCCATTTGACCCAGTAATCCCACTTCTAGGAATATATCTCAAGAAACTAGAAACACCAATCAGAAAGGATATATGCACCCCTATGTTCATAGCAGTGCAATTTACCATAGCTAAGATTTGGAAACAGCCTAAGTGCCCATCAAAAAACTGTGGTACATCTACACAATGGAATGCTACGCTGCAGTAAAAAAGCAGGGACTCTTACCATTTGCAACAGCATGGACTCTTACCATTAGCAACCTGGAGAGCATTATGCTAAACGAAATAAGCTAGTCGGAGAAAGATAAATATCACATGATCTCACTCATTTGTGGAATATAATGAACATAAACTGATGAACAAAAATAGAGCCAGAGTCATAGAAGCATCGAACAGACTGTCCAACCTAAGAGGGAAGGCAGGGGAGGGGGTGGTAAGAGATCAACCAAAGGACTTGTACGCATGCAAATGAGCATAACCAATTGACACAGACAGTAGGGGGGTGAGGCATGTGCTGGGGGATGGAAGCAGGTGGGGAGAGGTCAATGGGGGAAAAGGGAGACTTATGTAATACTTTAAACAATAAAGAATTTAAATTTAAAAAAATAAAAAAATACTGATACAGTGTTATACAAAGATTTTATAAGTGTATATGTGTGTAAACACACACATGCAAAGATATATATATATGTGCATATATATAGGCATAGACACAAAGATATATATATTTATATGCAAAGATGTATACACAAAAATATATGGAATATATATGTGCATATGTATTCATTACAGTTCTGGATGTATTTGCAAAATCAAATGGGAGCAGCCTAAATGTCCAACAGGGAATAATTTTTTTTAATTATGGTACAACCACACAATGAAATAATATGTAGCCATTAAAATGTTAAAGTATATATATTAGGTTGATTACATGAAACTGCCATTTCTTTCTTGTTTAGATCTATAGAAATAGCATTTTCATACAGTTCAATTCGATATATGTACAGACATGAAAAACGTCAAAACATATTAGAAGCTGAAAAACGCAAGTTGCAGAACAGCACATATAGTATGGCGTATAATATAATAAACAAAATATAATAAACAAAATATAGAAAACAAGAAAGAGGCTCACTAACAAGCTAACAAGGTTATTGGCGGGGGGAGCCTTGAACAATGAGAATTTTTTTGCAATTTGTTTTTAAAATGTATTTACTAAAATAATTACAAAGTATTTATGTATTTTACAGACAGTTTTTCTGATCTACAAATTTTCCAAACTCCCGGAATCACCATATTTCTCCACTGGCATAGAGGAAGAGGATGATGAAGAATTAGCCTTCATTGTTCGTGCCAAGAAACCCAGATTATTATGAGAACTAGGTAAAAAGCCGCACTTTTTCTTGGATTATCTCGAGACAATTGCCTGAACATTTCCTGCTTACTTTTCCTGTTTGAACCTGGCTTTTGAGATTAACATGAGTTGATCTGGTTTTCTGTGATTCAGAAACGCACAGAACTTGGCAGGCAAAGAAATACAAAGAGAGGAAGAAAAGGAAAGGGGAACAGGGCAGGAGTGGAGGAAGATGGGCAGAACTTGAGAAGGCTTTATAAAGTAATAGAATACATCCCTTACCTTCTGGGGACAAAGGAGCAAAGCTGATGGGAGGCAACAGACAGTCTCCTTCCCAAACCATGAAAGCAAAAACACTCTACACCCCTCACTCCAAGGAGTGGCTCAGACCTCTTACTGGAATCTCTGTGCAATAAAAGAAATTTTTTCTCTGTTTCCTTAGATGATGGTGTTTCCTTAGTTACCAAGTGCTATCAAGTTTGAGTTATCCAAATTGTCAGTTTCTCTTGATTCTTATTTCTCTAAATCAACTTTATGGAGGTAGAGTTTACATGTGGTAAAATACACCCATTTTCATTGCACATAGCCATGTGATTCACTCATAGAACCACCACCAGAATCAGTTTTGTATGATGTTCCTCTGTCTTATCTTCCCTAGTCAGGCCCTCATCAAATTGGATGAGGTCTACCCACAGTGGGGAGGGCCATCTGCCTTACTGAACCACTGATCCAAATGTTAATCTCACCTGGAAATAATACCTTCACAGACACACCCAACATAGTGTGTACTCTGGCACCTCATGTCCCAGTCAAGTTGACACATAAAATTAACCATCGAATGAAGAAAAGAGGATAGGAAGGGAGGGAGGAGGGAGAGAGGGTGGGAAGGAGGGAGGGAGGAAGAGAGAGAGGAAGGGAAGGAAGATATTTTGGACCACAGGTGGCTGTTACATTGCAAAAGATGGTCAGGGATAGTCTCTGAAAAGTGATGACATTGAACTGAGACCTGAATACCTTGAAGTTGCCAGCCATGTGCAGGTCCAGGGACAGTGAGTTCCAGGTGGAGGGCAAAGCAAATGCAAGACTGCGAGGCAGACAAGGCCATGGTGCCTTTGAGGAACAGAAGGAAGCCAGTATGGTCCAAACATGATGACCAAGGGCTTTCTGCTACTCGACAGTTTACTCTTCACCTGTGTTAGTTTTCTCCTGCTGTGCAACAGATTATCACAAACTTAGCAGCTTGACACAGACCCGCTTGCTTGTTATCTTATAGTTTCTGTGGGTGTGGAGCACACACAAGTTAGCTGGTTCCCTTGCTCAGGATCTCACAAGATTGCGATCCTGATGTCATCCAGGCTGCATTCTCATCTGGAGGTTAAATGAGAGAAGAACCCACGCCCAAGCTCACTTAGGGTGTTGGCAGAATTCAGTTTCTTGAAGCTGTACTATTTATGTTGGCTTCTTTCTTCGTATCAGTTTGCTTTGGGAGAGCACTTTGTAGCTGGAAAATGCTTTTCCATTCTGACGTTAACCACAAACATGCTCCTACTATTCTCAGCTAAGGATTCTGCCACTCAAATAGTTGTCCAAACCAAAATCCTGAAATGAAAGTCACCCTTGATTCCTCAACTCAATGGCAAGTCCTATGGGCTCCACATCCAAAATAAATCCCGAATCCAATAACTACTTCCCAGTTCACAGTCACCTCCATTGTCCAAGGCACCGTCGTCTCTGACCCAGCCGACTGCGATGCTGTTCTCACTGCTCTCACTCGTCCTTCCCAAACCCATTCTCCACTGAGCAGCCAGGGTGGTCTGTATACGATGAAAATAAGATCATGTCACTCCCTCCCTCAAAATCTTCCCAGGACTCTGTTATTACAGCAAAATCCAAATTCCAATCCCTCCAGAATCTGGCCCTGCTTACTTTTCTGATTCGATACTCTGACCCTGTTTCCTGCTGCCTGTGGATCATGAGCAAATTCCCTAATCTTCCTGAGCCTCAGTTTCTTTGTCTGTAAATTGGGGGTTTTGAGTTGTGATTGATCTATGTGAAGCAGTCCTCCTTGTTTCTCCCTATGTCTCCCTCTAGTGATGAAAAAGTGTAGCCCAGTTCATTTTCTCCCCTCTCTGATTTATCTTTTACTCTCTTCAACAACCATTTTTGATACCTAATCATATGCTGCATCTTATTATTCCTCAATTACTTTGTATGCATGAGTCATGACCTCCCAAGGAGGCTGAGGACAGACAGCCATATTTTTATACTTCTTGGGGTTCCCCCCAAAGGATTTAGGTCAGTCCAGGGCACCCAGCAAGCGTACAGTAAACCAGTAAAACCTGCCAAATTAAATTTACGATCCATCATCATCAGAGTAACTTGAAACTGCCTATACTCAATGAACTGTCATTTAACTGGAGTTTCTCGTAAAAGGGCCCCCTTTCTACTAATATCCATTTTCAAGTTAAAAAAAAAAAAAAAGTACTGACTGCAAAGCCCTTTGCTTTTAAAAAGAAACCTTTTCATGCACGTCACGTTTACATTTGAAACACAACTTCCTAAGCAAGGAGAGAGAGAGAGGAGAGAGAGAGAGAGAGAGAGAGAGAGAGAGAGAGAGAGAGAGAGAGAGAGAAAGAAAAGAAAGGAAAAATGAAGCATCCTCAGTGGCACAATTTAGGTATTGTTCCCTATCTCTAAAGCCCAGACATACTGAGCCCCAGCGTCACCCCTTTCCTTTCTCAAATGCCTATCCATTTTTGCATCCAAGAATTAAGATTTTTAAAGGTTAACTTTTAAAAGAAATGAATCCCAAATCTGCATATGAACTGTAAGGTTCTCATTTCAAGTGGATACAGGTTAGAATATGTTTGACCGTAAAAGCATAAAGGCTAGAATAAAGTGCCGTGAAGAATCTATTGGAAGAAATGGGATCAGATAGATGTGGTGCACTTCTCCTAAGTGCATACCACTTAACTGCATAATCAGCTGGTGCTCCCAAGAATTATGCAGTCTCTGTCTGGCCCCCATTAGATTGAATGTGTTGCTACTCCAGTTAATTGCATATCTGCAAATTGCATAATTCAGCTCTATGCACCCTGCACCGGGTTCCGAATGCCATCCGGTACAATGTAATCAAACTCGGGAAGTGAAGAGCTGGAATACTTATGAGATCCTGCCCATTTGTCACACTTGGTTTGGAGAGTCGGTGCGGGAAAGTAGGCAGCCCATTGGTCACAGGCCTGTGGGCTTTGGATTCCTGTCCACCCTCTCCCCTTCCACAACACAACCTCATGTCTCCAACCAAAAATTAATTTTAAATAGGTCCAAATGAAAACATACTAATTAAATTAGGTCATTACTAATTAAATTAGGTCATTACAAATATGATTAATACCAAAAACAGGATGTCATCATGGGAAAATTTTATTAAAAAATAAGAAATATCACTCCTAACAATGGTGCTCTCCTTCCCAGGACTGACATTATTAGTGCGGCAGAGCAGAAAAGCAGGGACTAGGCTTCCTGCTGCCATGAACTAGCTGGGCAAGCCTCTTCACCTCTCTTGGCCTTAGTGTTCCCTTCTGTACAATGGGAAAAGTAGTTCTAACCTTGTCTACGTCGCTGAGCTGCTGTGGAGGTGAAATGCAACCCTGCTTGGTTACCTACAAGGTAAGGTTGAAATCGATTGCCAGATACACCAGATGAGGCTAATGGGCTCCGAGTCAAAGAACAGGGAGAATCTGGGGAGCTGGTAGAAACACTTCAGTAAGGAGCCGGGGCAGCAGAAAGTAGTAAAATAGAAATGAGAAGAAAGAAATGCTACTGACTTCATGGCAAACCCTGCAAGGACCAGGTGTTGTCCTTGGTTTCAGTTCAGTTCTTACTCTGCAAAGATTCAATGCTCTTTCACACACACACACACACACACACACACGTCACGCAATGAGATCCTCGTTTGCAGAAATGGCAGCATAATAAGTAATAAGTTCAGTTGTAAAGAAAAAAGTACCCCATCACCCAATGCTCCAAGCTATCCAAACATCAGAAGGAAGGATTTGACACGCAGGTGCCTGCCTGTTGGAATCCAGAGGAAATGCTCATATGCCAACTCGCACAGTTGGAGCGCAGCCCAAAGACTTCAAAGGTCTCACTTTGCTCTTTGCAGATTTCCTCCCACAGGTGTTTTACCCTCAATGTGTATCTGTTAAGACAATGAGCGATATATCTTAGATACATACCTGAGTCATCTGGAGGAGTCTTTAAGTCAATAGTTGCCAAACTGTAGAATAGCTGGCTGCTCACTTACTGAAGTGGTTAATCCAGCTCAGCCTTTTACTAGTTATATAATCCCTGGAAAGGTACTGAATCTCATTAAGTCTGGCTTTCCTTTCCACAAAATTGGGCCAATAACAGTACCTACCTTTTAGGGCTTTGGGAAGGTTAAAGGAGATCACATATGCCAAGCAAGAGGCATAATGCTCAGTGTGCTACACTTGACTAGCCCAGAGTTTGTGTACAACCCAAGATAAGCTCATGTGAATCATGTGTCAACGTTTTGACAGAATTCTGAAATTACACATACTTCAACAAAAATGTGGGGGGAGGGCGGGTTAGGCAATTTAATCTGCATGTTCGTTTCACTCAGGTGACTAATAAAGTACCTTTGCTTTGGAATAAGGACATAATGGCATAAAGTTAAATGTGAGTACAAATCATTCTAGAAATTTACCTAGGGAAAGAGGTACTTCCACTCTGACCAATATTATCAGGTGCAGCCACATGTCAGAGTGTGAAAGGACAATGACAGTGTGCCTGTGAGGAGCTTGTATTGAGAAGGAACTTAAATGTTGGTTGAATTGAATTAAAGGCAGAAATCCAACTGATTAGTTGTTCCAATTTGGGAGAGTCTACTAGTTTTCAAGAGATGGATCAAAAACTGAACAAACATTTTAAGTCTAATATTTAAATCCTTCCAAAATCTGTCTCTTTCAATTATCACTATACCCCTAGTAGCTAATGCAGTGCCTTGTAGATATGTGCTCAATAAATAATGGTTGAATACGTTAATTAATTCATTAATTAATGATCCCAACCTTTGTTACTAGCCTTTATCTTCCACTATTTTCCAGCATGAGCCCTTTACTCTCCCCAGGCCAATCTGTGGTTTCCTACACGCTATCTTATTTATTTCTACCTCCAAAACTGTGTCCACAAGCCTTCCCCATATTCCATGTTCACTCCTTTTTCTCTTATGCAAATTTGTTCCACTTTTTGAGGTGTGATGTTTTGAACTGTGTCAAGTTGGCTAAGCTGGAACTACATTTTCCAGGGTCGCATCAGGTTAGAGTTGACCACGAGAGTTCTGAAATAGAAATGAGAAGAAAGAAATGCTACTGACTTCATGGCAAACCCTGCAAGTACCAGGTGCTCACC